TTACTGCAGGGCAAATAGAGTGGACATTGGGTTGGCTTCCTGTTGAAGAAATTGTGTATATGCCTTACGCTCCTTACCGGGTGATGAGACAGTTGGGAAGGTGTCAGGTGATGCACCCAAATGAAGATCTTAGTGTGCATGCGGTCGAGGTTAGTTCTGACGGTCAATTTCATGAAGAGACAGTTCGTTCTATTTGGAATGAATGCCAGTATTTGATAGTAAACACTCGAGTGCGTGATTTATCAAGAGGCGAAGTCTCACCCGCCTATCTTGCTTGGTATAGAAAGAAGAACACTGCAAGGGCTGAACCAGAAAGACCAGCCAAAAAGCCTCACATTCAGAAATTCGTTGAAGCGTCACAAGAACAGTGGGCTTGGGTAGCTAAGGAGAATGAGTACAAGGCCACAATAGGAAAATTGGAAAAACAAGTCAGGGACCTTCAATTCGAGAGTAGCTTGCAGGTTGCGGTGAATGAAGGGGAAAAGAAAAGGCTAGCCAAAGAAAATGAAGCCCTTCGAGCTCAAATTCAGAAGATGAAAGTAGCGGCAGAAAATCTAGCCCGAAGCGACAGGGATGAAAAACTCATAGCTAACCTAAGGCAGAAAGTGAGTGACTATAGTTTCGATTTAAACAAAGCAGAAAGTGAACTAGCCAAGGCTAAAAAACAATTGGCTAAAAATGCAGATGAACGGGTACGCCTGGTTAAGCAGTTGAGAGAAAGGTACAACAATGAGGTCGCAGGGTTAAAGAAAAGGGTCATCGCCACGGAAAACAAAATGATCAAGCAGACAAAAGACTTCAAAGTTGAAAGGGAACATTGTTATACGGCATTGGCACAATTAGAAATAGATTTGCAATAACTTCAGGAGCAAAATCATATGGCTGAGCAAACTTTGGAGGCCAGGGCCCAGCAGATTGGGCGTTTGTTACAAGAAAAGGGTGTCATAAGAGAGAGAATTAGAAACATCGCCGACTACATCGTTATGAAGTGCCACATCTGTGAGGATATGACTCGCATTACATTCTTTGCAGCAATGATGACCTTTGTTAAACAAATAATGAATGACTTGGACCGACTTCAAAGGGATCTTGCACATAGGCCCGCAGCGAGACCGAATGACGTCCTGCGGGCACCAGGAGCATTGATGTACTTGTGATTTTTCGTTTTCTGTTAGAGTTTGTAAGTCATGTTGGGTTTGTATTTTCTTTCTATTTTTGAGTCTGTATTTCTTTGGAGTAAGATAGCTTATTTTTGGAGTCTGTATTTTGTCTTTGCATCAGAGTCTGTTAGTCTTTTGGAATTTGTTAGTATTGAGTCTTTGTAATCGAAGCGTCTGTTTTTATAAAAACTGAAAAATCCCAAAAAATATTTTATTTACTTTCACGCTTATCTCCCAGAACTACGCTCGGTCTGATTCATGCGGGGTCATGATAAATAGGCAATCTCCATAGGATTCGACCATAACCAAAAGAGAGAAAAAGAAAAGAGAAAAGAAAAGAGGGGAAAAACAAGAGAGAAAAAGAAAAAGAAAAGAAAAGAAAAGAAACAAGAAGAAAGAAATGATGGCGATGAGAGGATAAAGAAAGAAAAGAGAAACAAAGAAAAGCAAAGAAAGAAAAAAGAAAGAAAGTTGCAAAATGACCAAGCCGGGATGACGCAAGCGGCCGAACAAATGCATGATAGAAACGGTTAACTGCTTAGGTGCATTCATCCCTTAAATGTGTGATTACCGACTTGTTGAAAACCTAACCGCTAACAAGTTTGTTGTTGGTGCATTGAGTCCAGGCAGGTGGTTAGTTGGTTGTCATTCTGGCAACTCACTCATACAACACCCGATCGAAAAACCGGTTGAATATGGCCAATCAGGAACCGGAAACAAGTATTGTCAACCCATCGAAAGAAGTGGAAGAAATGGACGTTAATGCAATGAGGGAGGAAATGTATAAGCTAAAGCAACAGATGGCTGAAATGTACCAAGCTTGGGCGAAGGGGCATCCACCGCCAGTCTATC